AAGCGTGAAGCGGTTTGGTGGCGGTGATCACGGAAAACAAAGTGACACCAAGAGTGACTCGAAGGAGTGCAACCTTGGAGAGACCAGCAAGGCGTGTGAACCCAAGGAGAGTGGTGCAGCAGCCAAAGGTGGTGGAAATGAGGAGGAGAAGCTAAGATCAGCAAAGCAGCAGCGGCGAAGGAGAAAGGAGAGAGCTTGTGGGGCACAATTGCGAGTGCCGCTTTCTCCAACCCGACTTCCGCTATGGGAGACTGTGATTGGCTGACCTTGCATCGGCGAATGGGGCATGTGGCATTGCCCATTTTGCAGCAGATTGTTAAGCAAGAGATGGTCAGTGGGATACGTGTCAAGGGGGAGCCCAATGAGGTGCTTGGCTGTCCAACATGCATGCAAGCCAAGTTCACCCGCTACCCATTCCATAGCTCGGAGACAACGGCGAAGGCACCACTTGATGAGGTGGTGATGGATGTGGTGGGCCCCTTGAAGCTTGGAGCTGCTGGAGCAGAGTACTTCCTCACCATTGTGGACGTCTACACTCGCATGACTTGGGTGTATGTGCTGCCCAAGAAGAGTGACGTAGCTGAAACGGTGAAGACCGATTGGGTTGTCGATGGTGGAGCGGCAACAAGACCGATTTGTGAAGGCGATTCGCACTGACCGTGGAGGAGAGTTCCTGAGCAAGGATTTTCAACTTGGCTGAAGAAGCAGGGCATAAGGCACTCTCTTACCATGCCCTACTCTCCTGCAATGAACGGCATCGCCGAGCGTGCGAATCGGACACTCACGGAGACGGCTCGGGGGACTTCTCATTGAAGCCGGTCTACCGAATTACTTTTGGCCGGATGCGGTGCGGCATGCTTGTGTGGCCAAGAACAGAGCCTTTGACTCACGTGGGAGAAGACAAATGGGTGCCCTATGTGGAGTGGATTGGAAGGAAGCCGAAGGTGGATATGCTGCGGGTGTTCGGGTGCATGTGCATGGCACTTGTGCCTAAGAAACTTCGGCACAACAAGCTTGATGCCAAGGCAACATGGGCCGTGCACCTGGGCATGGCTCAAAACAGCAAGGGATGGCTACTTTGGGACCCATTTACCAAGAAGTTCCTGGTGAGCAGAGATTGCAAGTTCATGGAGAACTTACCGTACAAGGAGTGGAAGGCGGAGAACCAAGCGAAGATTGGTGTGCGGCTTGGAGAGGTGAAGAGGACCGGCTTGGAGCATGTGGAGCTGCCCTTGGAGCTGAGTAGCAGCAGCACAATCACGAGGCAATCTCCCCAAATGAATGGGGATGAGGAGGAGGAGGAGGTGCAGCAAGGTAATGAGCGTGCACCGCCACTTCCGCCTCGTGCTACAAGTGCTCGCGGGAACCGACCGGACTTACCGCAAAGCCATGAGAGCATTCAAGTCCCTGCAGCAGAGGAGGAAGGAAGGGGGAGAAGGAGGACTCAGCCCCCCAATAGGTTGAGCTATGAACGGCTTGGAGGACCAGCCAACTCAACCTTGACCGGTTCAGCCCTCATGCTAGGCGATGATGCAGAAGATGAAAGTGAGGAGTGCGCCTTTGCCTTCTTCTCTCCGGTGGAGATACCGGGGGAGCCTACAAATCCCAAGGAGGCTTGGGAGGGCCCCAATGGGAAGGAGTGGAAGAAGGCCTCAGATAAAGAAATGGGGAGCATCATCGAGAACGACACGTTTGACTTGGTGAACCTGCCTCCGGGGCGTAAGGCGATTTCTTCCAAGTGGCTCTTCAAGCGCAAGACCGACGCCGACGGCAACATTGAGCGCTACAAGAGCAGACTTGTAGCCAAGGGGTATCAGCAGCAAGAGAAGAAGGACTACAATGAAGTGTATGCCCCTGTGGTGAAGGGTACAACCCTTCGAACCCTCTTCGCCGCGGCGGCCATCAAAGGATGGGTGGTGAAGCAAATGGATATTGTAACGGCCTTCCTCAACGGCGTTTTGGAGGAAGAGACCTACATGGAGCAGCCAGAGGGGTACAATGATGGGAGTGGCAGAGTGTGGAAGCTGAAGAAAGCACTCTATGGCCTCAAGCAAGCCCCTAGGCAATGGTACATCAAGCTGCGGGAAGTCTTGGAGGCGATCGGCTTCACTCCCTCAACGGCCGATCAATCGTTGTTCATGCTTGGCGAGGGGGAGCAGAGGAGCTTCATGGTGGTTTATGTGGATGACATCCTCATATTCTCACCCTCCTCTGACCTTGTGAAGGAGGTGATGCTGAAGCTTCAAGACAAGTTCAAGTGCAAGACCCTTGGTGACGTCAACTACTACCTTGGGCTTCACATTGAGCGAGATGTGGAGAAGCGGTGGATGCGAGTGCATCAAAAGAAGTACTTGGAGGCCTTGGCTGCAAACTTTGGGAAGAGTGAAGGTCATGAGGCTACTCCTCTTCCCTCAGGGTTCAAGTGTGTGAAAGGACCAGCGGAGGAAAGTGTTGGTGAAGAGGAGAGGCGGCGCTTTCACTCCTTGGTGGGCAGCCTCATGTATGCGGCCGTTCACACAAGGTCGGATGCAGCCTTTGCTACCGGCAGCTGGCTAGGGTTGTCCAATGCCCCAATGAAGAGCAGGTAGCAGCTGGAGAGAGGGTGGCCAAGTACCTTGGCCAAACAGCAACTGTTGGACTGCAATACTCCGCGGCGGCACAAAGGCGTCAAAAGGGTGCGGATGGAGTCGAACCCGGGAGGCTCTTTCTCACCGCCTTCTCTGATGCATCTTGGGCATCAGAACCAGAGGATATGACAAGTGTGGGAGGCTTCATCTGCTGTGTTGGTGGAGGCCCAACAGCTTGGGAGAGCAAGAAGTAAGTGGACCAAGCTTGGGTCTTAGGGACAGAGCGGAAAGGCAAGGGGCTACTTGGGGGGATCAGGAAGTATCAGAAAGTATATATCCCCATCCCCTCGTCCCCCTGAACCTTTGAAATGTCCGAGTTCGGTCACAAGATTTCCGGACGTGTCCGGGTCATTACAGACAATGCCCTGCACTCGTCAGGGCTGACCTTAAAAACGCATGGTTGAATTTCGGGCTGCTCTGTGAAATACGTTGGATTTTCAGTAAAGACAGGGTGATAACCCTGTTATTTTCAGCCCTGGTTGCGACCCTATGGAATGACAAATAGGTCGCATAGCGCGCAATTAGCGGAACAGGTACCGTATCCACCCGGATAGAGGACCCTAGGGGCGTGTAGGGCGAACAATGTTTTTTTGGGGCGGGGCCTATGATAAAATTTTAAAATATAAGCTCTGAGGCTTTTACGAAAATATAATTGTACAGACTTTAGACAAAAAACTAGTGTAGTTTTCAACTCCTTGGCGCATTTCGATGTTCTCTGTAATGGGGGATCGCAGAACTTCGAAGGGTAGGGCCTATAATCGAATTACGTCTATAGGCCCCATCATTTGATCAAATGACCCAGGGTCCAATCCCCTCGCGGGGCGCTTATCCGGATGGATACGGTACTTTCCCCAGAGCTAAAAAATCCGTGTAATGTCTTTCTATTATTTTCCTTGACTTTACATAAAAGTATGAGCTCAGGTTATTCAACCTTCGACTACCCACAAGTTCATGTGCTCTGGTTCACCCCTATAAGACTTTCGTTGTCTTACTAGTCGACCATTCCAGAACTACAATCCTTACGCTATAGAGTAGTAGAGATATTACTCCCAGGTCTTCACTCAAGCAGATTCTTTACTTAGTATCCTGCGCCCCTTTTACAAATTATTACATGGTATCAGAGCTATCAGGGATTAACACTATCGTCAACTCTACAAATGACTGGAGCATCATCATCTCCACTAACTGGTTCCTCAACAACTGGACCCACAAATGTTACAAATCCTACAATTTTTATAGGACAAGCATGTGATTCTGCAATCGGAATTCTCCAGCTGCATATGCTTCGATTGGGATGTCTTAACAGCAACAAGGGATGCCTGCTGTACATCCACTAGGGACTTCGTCCTCTACACCTGCAAAACCACAAGTATCACAGCAACAAGCACCACCGCAACAAGCAGCAGCGTCAGTAACAGCGGGCTTTAGTGGTATGAGCCTTGATGGATCCAGTTATGCAAGAGCTGCGCCTGCTCCAAGCTCTAGTTCTCCAATCGTGTTTACACCTGCACAACAACAGATACAATTTCTGCAACAACAGCAAGCGCAACAAGAGTTTCAGCAGCAACCTCAATACCAGCAACAGCAACAGCCACAACAGTTCCAGCAGCAATCTCAATACCAGCAACAACAACAACAAATCCCCCAGCAACATATTGCCTTTAATGGACCTGTTTTTTAGGCTCCCAATCTTTTAACACACAGATCAAGGCGACAATACCTTGGCATTAAATTTTACTCCTGGAGTTTCGAATTTGAGCTCCTCACGAAATCTGCTGGATTATGGCCTTTCTTCAGCGGCGATTATTCGTATCCTGTCAAGGGAACACAAATGGAGCAGCAGAGTTTTCTTCATGCTTCCCTCAGTGCCTATATAGTCCTCATCCGAAATCTGTCGATGAAAGAGCAGCTCGGGATACACTCCCTTCATACCACTTTGACTCCAGCTGCATCTGCATGGAAGCATTTGAAGGGACTATACATGGCCCAGGATACCATTTCCGTGAGTAAGATTTGTTGGTGCAACCCTATGGCTTGCACTCGGCTTGTCGTCCTTGTTTGTGTGTGTGCATGCATGGCATGGAATGAATTGTGAGTCTATGTCATAGCAATCTAGTGCTTGTGTGTGTGTTTGAATGGTGTATCACAATGTGGTTTGTGTCGGTCAAGACATTAGCGAGTTTTTACAACTCGCATGTCAAGTCGTCGTTTGCGTGTCGCATGTGTTTTTTCTATTTTTGTCGAGTGTGAAGTGTCCATCGCATCGCAGGTGTGTGCAGCAAGCCCCCATCAACTCAAGAAGAATTTATCTTGCAGAACCAAGACCAAGAGCTGAAGATTTCAAGCCCAAGGGACACGGATAAATATTAAATAGTGAAAATAGTAACGCTACTTCGTGTAGTGTTACATTTCACTTGGTGTAGCCCCTTGGAGGGTTGGTTTCGAGACTCTTCATGGTTGGGGACTCTGTGGTGGTGTACCACCAACCTGGACCTCAGCTCTTGGGATATGTAGAGGCTGGGAACCATCTCCCTCTCGAACTCTTCTTGCTAAGTTTGTACTCCTAAGACTATAGTGGATACTGTACCTCCTGCCAGTCAAACCGCCATAGCGTCGTCAAATCTTCATGGAATTTCATGATTCAACTTGCTGCTGATAGACGACAGCAACGCGCTCCAGATCCAATTTACAAATCACAGTTTGATTCAGCGACCAGATAGTTATCAATATTTGAAGCCGTCTGACGGAAATCCGACTGTGCTCTCTATCTCTCATTATAGGCACATCTGAGCCTATGGTGATTATAACAAGATTCTCGCACAACTGACAACTGTGCACATGCAAGGCAACAAAAATGTTTTGGATTATGTTAACAGGACTCGCACACTTCGCGACCAACTCGAAAAATGCGGCGGATACTTTCCGAATGACATGTTTATACCTGTCCTTCTTGCCGGTCTAGGACCAGAGTGGCGGCACGCAAGCTGCACGCAACAAAAGGGGGAGGTACAATTCAGCCTCTACTCAACACCAACTCGACGTCCTCAACATTTATGTCAAAATTGCCACAAGGGAGGTCATTCTACTGACCAATGCTACTTAAAGAAGAAGTATTTACCTACTGAAGAATCGCAGCAGTCGTAATCATCACAGCAGCTACAATAGCCTTCGAAGCAGTCTTTGCAGTAGCCTACGTTTCCCAAAGCAACATCTGCAATATCGATAACACTGACATCACTCAACTGTGCTCTTTCAAGCAACTCGTCGAAGCCAACCGCCACTAAAAAAAACTCTGCCAACAATACGGTAACCTCAAATTTTTGCTTGCCTTCTTCATCCACTCACATGGCCGGTTGTAGTTCAGATACCGATATTTGGTACTTCGATAGTTGTGGCCACCACATGGTCTTTTCAAGAATCCCTTTCATCTACAATCGTTATCGATTTCTTCAACTGTGGCCAATTACACTCGCCAACGGTCAGACAATTGAAGCAAACACTATTGGCAGTCTTCTTCTTACATCGATTGATACAGGACACTCTTTACGCCTTACCAAGGTTTTAATCGTCGACAACCTCGGCTTCAACTTAGTGTCTACTATTCAACTCTTGAAGAAGAAAATCCGCACGGTCGGAAGCTGCACCACACAAGAGCAAGAGCTAATACATGATGTGGACAACAAATACATCTGAAGAGCAGTAACCAAGAATGGTGTATTCGTTTTACGATTCAAAACAACAAAATCTTCTGAAGATGCCACTCCTCTTCAAGCTCCATCCATCACTGCAGCAGCTGCTTTGGTAGCCTTTCCACCCATGAACTTCAGCAGCAGCGAAGAAGAAAATCTGAGTAGCAGCACCGATGACATCCTTGCCGACATACCTGCTATTGATATCAAGGTAGATATTATTCAAGACGATGAGGAAAATCTGCACCTCGCACCTGAAATCTTCTTCAAAATTTTATGGCTACCCCTCGTCAGGAGAAAGGTTATGCACTCTCAAGGCTTTTACTCCCTTCATATTTCATCCTCTTAATTCTTGCTTGGCTGGCCATAGCAGCAAGCGAGCTCAGCCCCACGCTGCAAACTTTACTATGCTACAGCGCAGCCGATTACCACAATACGAGCTCCAATGACTACGCGCAAGGCATGGGCATCAACCACAATCAAACCCTTCATCTTAGCGTTCAACAATGCAACGAAGCAGAAAGGTTAAATAATAACCTAAAGGAGATACATGAGGTTGCGCTCACTGCTGACTCAACATATTTTCTTCTCCGCAACCGCGCTATCAGATCTGCCCACAAATTCATGGTTCTTTGTCAAGCCTCCGGACCAGGCCCTCAGAAGTCAGGCCAAAAAGGCCTGAAAGCCTGTATATCAGGGTGTTTTTTAGGGCATACCCTGATTTTTCAGGTTTTGATTTTCATCAAACCTGAAATTTATGTGTTCCCATGTTTTAAGCCCTGAAAAATAGTACGTTCTTGTTTTAGCGAGTCTGACGAATCAGCCTTCGTCGAAATCCGCCCTGAAACAGAATCCTTTCTGCAGGGCGAGCTGGAGCAGGTGTGAGGGGCGTGACAGGTCCTTGACCAGAATCACGCAAATAGTCCTAGGCGAAAGGAGCACATGTGAGTGGGGTGACAGGTCCTTTACCAGAATGACGTAGGTAGTTTTATGTGAACTGGAGCAGGTGTGAGGGGCGTGTTTGGGCCTTGTCAAAAGCACAGACCAACGAACTGCAACGTGGCTTTCAGTCGCAGAATGCTAAACTGGAAATCCACGGCGAAAGTTTGCCGTCCCTGCGACTGCACAAACAGCATTCCTGGCAAGTTACGAGGTGACGCCTGTGCCTAAATCTCGGCAAATTACGAGGTTCTAGTTTGGGCGAAAATGCATTTGCGAACAACATGCATGCACGTGGCATTACTTGCGACTTTTGCGTTGTTGAGCATGTGCCGCCATATCTGACGCGAGGGTTGAAAGTCTGAGCAGCGGTCCGGGAAAACTGAAGTTTGACACCAGGTTAGTCTGATGCGAGGACCGTAAGAATACTCTCTGAGTCCTCCGCCAAAATCACACAGGTACATTGTACGCAGTGATGTCCGATCCGAAATAAGAATCAGATACTACAAAAACGTAGGCCTGATTAGTCAGGCTTAATTGTTTTTTGGCCTGAAAAATTCTGCCACGCCCAAAACCCGACCCTGAAAAACAGGGTTCTCACATGGGCGATCCTGAGCAATCAGCCTCCCTAAAACCAATCTGAGGCCCTGCTCCGGACGATGCGAACCAGCTCTCACCCTGATGGAACACGTATTGAAGTGAATGAATGACTGGAATAGAGACACATAAAGGAATATAACCTAATGCGTGTACTCCCTAAGGAACAACCCTATATAGTCTATAACAACATACAATATATGTTTGACACACCCCCTAAACTATATAGGAGCAGTGCCTGATGAGAGAGAAGCAGATCAGGGTGGCACTACCAGTCCAGCATCTAAGGCAGGGGTCTAAAGACCAGTCAAATGAGTACAAACAAGGCAAGAGGAAGGCCTAGGCGGCACTACTAGTCCAGCCACTGGGAAGAGGCCACAAGGCCAGTCAGGGTAATATATATATAAAGGTCTGTACACAATCAAGGTCCTAGCAAGTGAGAGGCTACAAGAATGAGACCTAGCTGTACACAATGCCACTGATTATCTTTAGGCGCAAGTGCCTTAGTAAAGATATCAGCTGTGTTGGCACCGGAGGCCAAGTGTACTACGCGAGCCTAGCGACGCTACTGCAGCTCGCGCAGGAGGAAGTGCCGCAGCTGGATGTGCTTCGCAATGCCCTCTAGTCGTGGTTCCTGACACTGGAGTCTATGGTCTACTGGCAGCGGGGTGGGCTGTGAGGAATAGAATTGAAGGCTGAACCTCTGAAGGACCTGGCGCACCAAGTGTGACTGTGAGAGAGTGATTCTGCGCGCTGCTCTGTCCCTGGAGATCTGCAAGCCAAGGTAGCGGCGCAGCTCTCCTAGGTCAGTGCAGGTGTGTCTCCTCAGCAGCTCGACCTTCACGGAGGCCAGCGCGTCTCTGTCTGCAGTAGCAAAGACCAGGTCGTCTAGGAAACAAGGATGCAAAACGGCGTCTGGCCGGAACGGACGAAGAGCGAGGGGTCTGCAGACGAAGGGAAGAACTGCAGGTCAGCAAGTGGAGCACGCAGCGTGTCGTGCCACTCACGGGGTGACTGTCGCAAGCCGTCGACGGGGCGCCAGAGGAGCCACTCGGTACCAGAGGGAAAGGTACCGGAGAAGCCCTGGGGGCGACGCAGGTAGACCTGCTCGTGTAGGCTGCCCTGGAGGAAAGCTGTGGAGAAGTCGAGGGAGTGCAGCTCGTAGTCACGCGATGCTACTACGTGTAGTAGTGCCCGAAGAGTTGTCATCTTCGGGGTCGAGGCGAAGGTCTGGAAGAAGTCCACCCCCTCACGCAGACTGAAGCCTCGAGCAATTAGCGCGCCTTGAAGACAGGTGGCTCTCCAGGAGGGCGCTTCACCTTGAAGAGCCAGCGGCCATCGACTACGTTCACCCCAGATAGGGGAACGTCATTGACAAAGGTACCGGTGGATCTCCAAGATGCCATCTCCTACTCCATGGCAGCTATCCACTAAGAGGCCCAGGGTCCCGAGATGGCCTCAGCGTAGGTGTGAGGGGT